TCACATCTTCATTTATATGGAAGATGTGTACAAAGTTGTCAATACTAGTATACATAGCAAAATAGCCAGAAGCAATTTTAAATATATTTTAAAATACATATTTGGTATAATCATAGGCTATTAAACTATATAGCAATTAAAAAGGGTGACAAAAATCTGCTAACCTGTATAAATCAAATTAAAAAACATAATTTCTATATATAATAGGGATTACTTCATGTAGGTATATAAAAGCACCGACTAAGAAAAGCATTAAAAATTCATAGTAATTATTTCAACATGAGAGAACAGGACATCTTATGGGATAAAAGAGACTTTAATATCTGTAATTTTTATTGCCTGTATTAAAAATAGCTCAAAGCAAGTGGGATAAAACATTAACAACTGACAATCTTGGGCCTCCTGATTCTTGTGCATATTCTTATTCTTTGTGCTTTTTTTATATGCTGGCCACTTCTAAGATAAAAGTATGATTTTTTTTTCAGTAAAATGCAATAAAAAAAATACTAGAGACAAGAGGCCAGTAATGAGAGTGCTGCAATATTCCAGAATAAGGCATGAGACATAAGAAAGGACACACTCCGGTGGAGACAGGAAGGCCTCAGACACACAAGGTCCTGATGAGAAGGCCTTGACGGCTGTTTGAGGGCTGTCTTAGTACAGTCGAGCTGTTGTGATAAAGTATTGTAGACTGTGTGGCTTAAACAACCAGCATCTCTGTCTCACAGTTCTGGGGGCTGAGAAGTCCAAAATCAAGGAGCCTGCTGAGGAGGCTCCCGGGGGAGCTCTGTTCCTGATTTAGAGTCAGCTAGCTGCCTTCTCACTGGGTTGCATATAAGACATGAAGAGCTAGGGAGGGCGGAGAGAGAGAGGACACTTGCTCTTCCCATTCTTGCAAGAATATTCATCTCATTCAGAGGCTCTCATGGTCTCAGTTAAGCCTAATTATCAACCAAAGCCCCATCACCAAATATCACAGTGGGAGTTGGTGCAACATATGACTTGGAGATACAACTATACATTCCCCAACAAAATGTATTAAGACTATTTATCAATCTACGGTATTGTGCTTGGCATATAATGAATTCTTAATAACGTTTGCTGAACCCTGTGTCTAACATTAGTACTTTTCCCCCCGCTTATGAGTCACCCACGCAGTGTAAGTTTAGAGGGAAAGAGATACTACTGGTGGCAACAAATTACAGCACTGTCTAGTACCTCAGATGAACTCTGTTGTTTTGAAACAGTCTCACGCCGGGCGGTGGGGGCGCAGGCCTTTAATCCGGGTGCAGGCCTTTAATCCCAGCACTCAGGAGGCAGAGCCAGGTGGATCTCTGTGAGTTTGAGGTCAGCCTGGGCTACAGAGTGAGTTCCAGGAAAGGCGCAAAGCTACAAAGAGAAACCCTGTCTTGAAAAAAAGAAAGAAAGAAAGAAAGAAAGAGAGAGAGAGAGAGAGAGAGAGAGAGAGAGAGAGAGAGAGAGAGAAAGAGAGAGAGAGAGAGAGAGAGAGAGAGAAAGAAACAGTCTCACTCTGCAGCCCAGGCTAGCCTTAAACTAATAGAAATCCCCATGCTTCAGCCTTCCAAGTGCTAGGATTACAGGCATAAGCCACCATGTCTGGATGGGAAGTAATTTCTTAATGACCTCAGCCAAATTCCAATAAAGGGAGTCACTTCAAGAGGCTTCTTCTAAAAGCTGGGAAACCTTTACAAGAACTCAGATCTTCTACAAGGAAAGCTTTTGGAGAAACATCCCAGTACAGGTCTGTGTCTTCAGCCAGCATTAGTATTATTAACATTAATAGTAATAGTACTATTAACATTAATAGTAATAATAATAATACCTCTTCCATGCCTTTCCTGGAAAGAAACAAAATATTCTGTATGTTGAAGGGGTTCCTCAGTGTCCTAGCCCAGTCTCACAGGCATAGTATTAGGAGACTGTGACATCAGCATACAGGATAGTGTTAGTCACTAGTTAAATATGGGCAAAGATGATGTCAGTCCCAGAACTCTATGGTTAGAAATGGCAATTCTGTTGCAGGGGAAGAAGAAGTATATAGGAAGAGTATATAATACACACAAGGTTAGCAAAACTAGGCATGGCAGGGTATGATTACACACTACTAATCTCAGATATTGAAGAAGGATCATTAGTTTGAGGCCAGTCCGGGTTATGTAGTGAGTTCCAGTACAAGTTGGGTAACTTAGTGAGATCATTATCTTAAGAAAAAAATTAAGGACTAGAGATATAACTCAGTGATAGATCACTTGCCTAGAACATGTATGAGTCCTAGATTCAACCCCCAGTGAGGCAAAAAAAAATGCACATACATACATTTATACATACATAAATACATACTAGATATGACCTATTCTGCAAGATCGTGAGTTCTACAAGATCCTACTATCAAGCAGATGGAGAATAAATAGTTCCTTTTTCAAACTGGTGCCCTCATTACAAGCACATCTACTACCCCCGGGAGCAGAGACTGACAGTGTCCAGTGGTTTATAAACTATTAGGAACCTTCACATTTAAGAGCTGGAAGGCCCAATATTGGCCAGGGTGATTGATGCTAGAGGACAGACTGGGTGTGGTGATTCCACAATCTTTCCACATTTTCATATGGTAGTACCACCTGATCTTACAATGTTTCTCCTCTTCTCTGGATTTAAGGGAAGATGAGGCCTTAAGTACTGTGATGCTGCTAGTTCCACAGGAGTCTCATACTGACCTGGTAATTGTGGTTTGGCATGTCAGCATTACTTAGGATTCTGCAAGATGATTCAGTGTTGAGTGGCACCACTAAGCCCAAGGTTTCCTGAAATGTAATCTACTGTATAAATGGGTAATATGTGTTAGTGTTCACAGACCATGTAAAGTTAAAAAAAAAATTAGAGGAGGCCCACTGGAAACATGCTGATATCTGACAAACCTGCTCTATGGAAGATGATGGTGGCAGCTACATTAATCAAAGTAAGAGAGTCAGATTTCCAAACAGAGCCTCCCTTATCCTATTTTCCTATGCCAGTATCAAAGCAACTGAGAGGTTCAATGTCCTCTTCTCTATAGGGGTCTCTGCAAACACAATGGATGTCAGAGTAACAATCTGTGTCAGAAAATCCAGTTCAGCACAACTCAGTAGTCGATGTTGGTTAAAACTTCTAGTATCTGACACCAAGCAGTTTATTGTGGGCATATTAAGTACAGTACAATTTGAAAAGAAGTTTCCTGGTGTAACACAATCCCATGTGCACAAGGAGGCATGATTACATAGAAACTCTTCTCAAAGTACATGCCACTTCTATGAAGATGGGTTCTGAAGATAGGCTACATGTATTATCTTAAGGGCCTAGAAGTGGATCTGGTGTGGTCTCAGTCATAGAGATAGCACAGAAGTTACCTAGGTTATTAACTATCTCTGGTCCTACTTATGGGGGTCTGGGGGAGTCTCTGGCCATAAAGATAGTACAGAGGTCATCTAGACTATTAACCACATCTGGTCCTGGTTATGGGAACTTGGGGGAGCCAGGTATGACCTGGCCCTACAGATAGTGCAGGGATTATCCAGGATATTAGTCACCTCCATTCCCAGGCTTCTGGGCAGAAAACATGTTATACATCTTTTCCTTTGAAAGGACAGCCTAGTGTGTTTAACATTCCTTGTTTCCCTAATGCTATCTATGAGCACAAGGACCTTTTTGTCCCTAACACTTCTCTTCCCATGCTACTACCCACAAACCTGGGAGGTCTCAAATCTTCCTATGGGAAGCAAGCCCTGCCACATTAGTCCCATAAAGTCATAGTTATATTGTCAAATCTTCTTCTTAAGTCAAGTAACCCCAATATGCACTCAGAGAACTTCTATAAATATGATCTAGGGTCTAGAATACCAACAAAGTAACTTTCTAAAAACAAATCTATAGGTGCATCTTATAAACTCAAAATATAGCAGGTTTCCAAGAAGTTAGTTACTTCAATTTTAGATTTGTTGGATCTAAGAGGTCTATGAAATATCTTATAAGCCATTTCTGATGTACATCCCAAACTCTCTGGATTATCTCTTGAAGCCAAAAGCATTTTTCTCCAACTCTCCCCATAGCTGTCCATCTACAGTTCCTACCTCCTGAGTATTCCCCTCCTTCCTCAAGCAATCATTATCCACTGCCTGATAATTACATTGAACTGGGACCACCCACCAAAACCAAAGTCTCCTGAATTATTTGTCCCATAAATAATTACCTGTCATCCATAACTATACTTTTATACTTCAACCCATGTGCTAAATTTCAGCTGAAATACTTAGTGGTGACAAAGAGCAAGTACACCAAAGCCAAACTTTTTGAGTTTGTATATTAGCTTTGCTGTTTGTTGGCTATGACTATTGGCAGATTATTTTATCTTGTGCCATAGGTTTTTTTTGTTTGGTTGTTTTGTTTTATAAAACAAGGGAAAGATTTATACTTACTTTAAAACCTATTTGGAGGTGAGCGCTTGGCTCAGCATATGCATGTGGGAAACAAATGGAACTATTACCACTGATGCTGAGATTTTCAGATTCCTCAGGGGAGAATACGTGTGGAATATGCCTTTACACTATGTGTATATGTGTCACTATGATAGGGTTAATATAGAAGCTGACTGGCCAATAGAGGTTAGGCAGGACTTGTAGAAAAAAAAAAAGATTGTGAAAGAGAGGAGTCTCTGAGAATCAAGAGAAGTCACAGAGAGAAGAAGATGAACTTGTTGTACTGAAAAAGGGTATCGAGCCACATGGCAGAGCATAAATAAGAAATATGGGTTAATTTAAAATGTAAGAGTTAGCTAGTAACAAGCCTGAGCTATTGGTCTAGCATTTATAATTAATAAGTCTCTGAGTGGTTTTTTTGGGAGCAGCTGCTGAAACAGGAAAACTCCATCTACTTATGACACCCAACATGGGGCAACATAAAACCTGAGAAAGCTTAAAAAAAAAAAAAAAAAAAAGAGGTTCCAAACACACAAAAAACAGAGTCAAACTCAGCTTCTTGGTAACTGCTTTTTCTCAGTTATGCTCCATTTCCTAGCAGCAAATAGAGTCACAGCTCCTTTAGGAGGCAGCTTCCTTGGCTCAGTGTCTAACATGGGTACAGCTCTTTTAAGAGGCCCTGCTACCAAACACTTAAATGGGGTTTATGATCAGTGGGTGATGTGTTACTTGGTGGCAGCATGTACTCAACAACTTCCCAGAGCTGGGGCGGTAAACATGGCTCCTGCCAGTACCTCCACCATGAGGCTAAGCTCTCAGACAACCAAGTGGGGGGGGGAATGAGCCAGCCACCAGCTGCCATGCAATGACACCATTCACAAAGCTGAGCATTGCCAGCGACTAACACAGCAACTTAAGATTCATTTCATGTGATCTAAAAACAATACAGATGCTCAGTAAAGACAGATCTAGATTTAAAAAAAAAAAACTCTAAATAGGTTAGAGTGTCTTAAAAATATACACGGGATTGGGAGAGAAAATAGAAAGGGTAGAGACAGTCATAGATAGAAAATGTTTAAAAATAAAAAACTAAACTCCTTAAAAAGGAATAAAGTAAAAAAGTATATAATAAGCCATGTAAAAATGAGAAATATACAGAGAGTCTGGATTCTGTATGTTATTGTGTTGTCTTTAGATTTTCTGGTTGCTAATGAAGGAACAACAGCTGCTAAGACACATTGGATATAAAAACTGCTGGATTATACCAACCTATATATTTTAAAAATGTCTTGACTTCAAAATGAAAATCAAAGATATGCTACTTTGGGGTTATGCTTTTTTTCCACAGGAACTGAAAGGCTGTGGATTCATTCCAAGTTGATATGGATCAGGTTTGATTGGGGAAGACATCCTGAAATCTTGACTACAGACACAAAGAAATAAACCTAGAAGAATGACAAGACACATGATGTATATTTTATCTGCTCAAACATAAAACAAAAAAGAATCACCTTTGACTGACTTATGTACAATGCACAATCTATACTTGTATTAATACAGACATGTATGTTACCTATAAAAGTTTATGTATTTTCAGAACAAGGAGATCAGACACCAATGAAAATGAATGGCACATGTGATCCAGCATCTCAAAATGTCTCTGTTACAGTCTCCCCAGAATCCTACATCCAAAACAGCTTCAAGGCTGCTGACTGAGATGGTCCAACCTCACAAACTACTCCAGTTAAAAACATAACAATTATCCTGATTTTCTCAAGGTTTCCCCAAAGATGTCAGTGCCCACAGACAACAGGAAGTAGTCTAGAGAATAAAGCCCACATTTCCAAGAGATGGGGTTTGGGAGGGTTTTGATTATTCAATGAATTATGAATGTTTGTCATTGTTTAGGGGGGTTGGTTATAAGTTATTAGACATAGTCAAAAAAAGAGCTAAACAAAAAGAGTTAAATTCGCCAGGCAGTGGCGGTGCATGCCTTTAACCCAGCACTCGGGAGGCAGAGGCAGGCAGATCTCTGTGAGTTTGAGACTCGCTAAAGAGCGAGTTCCAGGACATGCTCCAAAGCTACACAGTAAAACCCTGTCTCGAAAAACAAATAAATAAATAGATAGATAGATAAATAAATAAATAAATAAATAAATAAATAAATAAGTTAAATTCAAAGTTCTCTTTCTAAAGGAAAAAAGGATAGGAGTGGCATTAAAAAAAGGTAGATTATTAAATCTACTTTAATCCAAAAGAACAACTATTAATCTCAAAATATTTTACATTGGTATGGATTTTGGTTTATTGACACAAATTTAAAGTTTATTTTGTTATACTGTATTTATGTTTGTACTCTTGTTTGGGATATTTTGTTTATGTAGCTCATTTAAAATATATATAATTAAAAATACAGATTAATAGTCAACTATAATAGTCAAATTTATAGTCAGGTATGTTTTCAAGGTCATATACAGATATATTTAGATAGATAGATGATCTTCAAACACTTCAAAGCTCTATAGACTATGGCACTTAAGATGTTTCAATAATATAAAGCTTTTTATAATAATGAGACAGTCTACTCCTGGCAGCACCAGTCTACTTCAGAGAAGATGATGGGCATTGAAGAAACTCCATATGGAGTTTGCTTTCTTTATGGCAAAAGTTAGCCACTGGTCAAGAAACTGCCCTTGCCTCAACTGTTGACAGTATGTTGTCCAAATTGGACAAGCAGGACACAAAAGAAAGCAACTGCTGAACTTTGTCAAGACAAGGTGGGACAGTCCTTCAAAATTCCTGATTCACAGGAAAGTCTGTCAAATATCCTAGGCCTGTAGGCCAAAGATGGATGCCACAACGTTGCAAAGGAACCTTGAGTGACTGTCCAAGCAGCCAGTTGTCTTTGTCATTTCTATAGTTTTGGAAGTCATTTGCTTTGTATTTCCTGTTTACTCAGATAACATTAATATCCTTCTCAGGTCTTTGATGGGGTTGAAGACTAGATAGTTACAGTTACAGTTCTCCCTAATCATGATAGAAAGTAAATTAGGTACAAAACTCTGGACTCTTTAAGAGAGGACAACTGATGGAATATTTCCTCTATTTTGCCAAATACAAATGGACTGAATATTGTAACCGTAATTCTTACTTGCTAACTGTTTTTGATGTATATAATTTTACTATGTTAAAGTTAAAATCTTCCTTTTTAAGTAGACAAAAAGGGGGAAATGTGGAATATTCCTTTACACTGTGTGAATATGTCACTGTGATTGGGTTAATAAAGAAGCATACTGGCCAATAGCTGGACAGGTAGAGGTTAGAAAGGACTTGCAGAAAAAAAGAGAGTGCAAAGAGGGAGCAGAGGAGTCTCTGAGAATCAGGAGGAGACATGGAGAGAAGATGAATTTGTCATACTGAAAAAAGGAATCAAGCCACGTAGCAGAGCATAGATAAAATGGGTTAATATAAAATGTAAGAGTTAGCTAGTAACAAGCCTGAGCTATTGGCCAAGCATTTCTAATTAAGAAGTCTCTGACTTTATTTGAGAGTGGCTGCCAGGACAGGAAAGCTCTGCCTACAAATAAGAGGCTTCTTTTTCTGTGTTGCCATTGTATCAAGTACTGACCTCAGTTAGTGTAACTGCCTTAGTAGTTCTCCAACAACTTTGTATACCACTGAGCACATGAGATTATAAACTACTGGAAGGCAGCAGGTTTCATTATAGTAACTGCATCTTCCCCCATGTGGCACAGGACCAGGAACAAAAGAGTTTCAGTCAGTTCTGCTACAGTGTTGGTTTGAAATGCAAATTTGTTCAAAGACAGCTGACACATTAGGAAACTGAGCAGTGAGTTTCATGCTTATAAGTGATTCTGCAATTTCAGAAATGATAAACAGAAAACTTCACACAGATGATACTGGCTGAGCAGGAAAGCTCAATATGTACTCTTCTTCCAATATCTCTCAGCTACCTCAGTTTACCACTATAACTTTCAACCCAATTCTGACAAGTCTTTCTACAAAACTCAAGTTTTTTCTCAAGATAAAGGGCTGTATTTATTGTAGTACTTGCATACTTTCTAACCATATTATGCCTAAAACAGTTCTGTCACTTCTTTTGTATGTGTGTGTGTATGCATGTGGAGGCCAGAGGTTGACTTCCTCAATTGCTTTCCATTTATTTATGGAAACAGGGTCTCTTGCTAAGCTTAGAGCTACTCTAGGCTAGCTAGCTTATTCAAGGGACTTCCTGTTCATTTCCTAATTGCTAGGATTACAAGTAGGCCACCACATCCACTTGACTTTTATGTAGGTGCTAAGGATCCAAACTCTAATCTTCATACTTGTATGGCAAGTACTTTATCCCACAAGCTATCTCCCTGGTCTTCATTTCTACCATTTTCATGTGTTACTGATATTTTGGGAGTGCTACATCCTTACTTTCATTTTTCCAATAAATCCATTGGTTTTCACTATGATTTTTGCATAGTGTGGTCATTTTAAGGATGCCTCTTTATAGCAGAAAGAACTGCATTCAGCAGTCTTCTGGTTGATGGTGAACAACACTTTCTCTTCTCCATAGATATCTAACTCCTAAAACTGTAGTAACAAGTGTATTTGTCATTGAGGCTAGCAGATCTGCCCACAGTTGAAGGTAATAAATGTTTATTCATAATCAACTGCATGCTAAGCAATGTGAGGCTGTGAAGACAATGTGTCTAATGAGAAGCAATGCTTGTACTAGGCTTCTACAGTTATTACAATAGAGTTGGGTAGATGCCATTATAGAATTATACAAGTTTTCTCCAACTACAAAAACCTCCCGGAGGAAGCATTCCTCCTTCTCAGATATTTCAAAGGCTTTCCTTGCTTATCCCCTTTCCTGTTACCTTACTAAACATGCTGAGTCTGTGAGCACTGAGCAAGGATACAGTACCAGGAAGAGTTAATATGGAACAGGTGGGAGAGATAAGGGCCCCGAGGGATGCAGGTAGAACAGTTCCATAAAAGGCCCCAAGAGGCACTGGTCAAGGTAGAGAGAGGCTGCCAGCACACAGTGCTCAGAGTAGCTCCCTAGTCAAGTCTTCAGCTGGTGGCTTTGTCTTCCCTCAACGTTGAAGCTTCTGCTGGGGGCCAGATGCTTGCAGGGGGCTCCATCTCCTCATCCTGCCTCCTCTATCAGAGGTGTTTCTTCACACATTTAGTACTCTGGGATTTTTACCATTTCCTCCTTCAGTTGCCTTACCTCTGAGGCATTCCAGAAGTAAGACTCTAGTGGAATCCCCTTCTGGATCCAGAAGATGAAAGGACACCAAGAAGAAAAGCTTCTTTTCTGCTGTCATCATCTCTCTCTCTCTCTCCATTGCTCCCTACTCCCAACTTAACTCTCTACCTGATGTTCCAGATTACAACATCAGCACCAAATCCAGAATAATGTAAGCACCCCTTGGGCCCACCAAATTTCCTCTGTCATTCCAGGCTCCCAGACTCACTCCAGATCTTACCTGTGACCCCATTATAGTTTTTCCCTGTCTTCCTATTCTGCCTCTCCTTGCTTCCTAGTGTATTGGTACCCCAAATATTAATTATAGGAAACAGTTAAGATCACTGTGTCTACCTCTATTATAGAAGCAAAATCAAGAGGCTCAAAGTCCCTCCCAAAAATATAGTAAAGAAGAGATAACCTGATCACTCCACACCAGTTTTCTTCCCAAATACAGAGACCAAGACTGACTGTCCTTGGACTCTGAGGGAGAAAACAGTCATCTCAGCTCTGTCTCCCCAGATACTCACACTGAAGGATTCTGCCTGTACCAGCACCCCATCAGTCACATACTTCCTTAACCCTTCCTTTCTACCCCTGCCTCTGCTCTCCCTATAACACTCATGGATTACTAGGAGCAAGGATTCTCCCATTCTAGCTAGTGTCATTATCCATCCAACCTGTCTCAAGCAAAAATTATGTCCCTGTAATATTCCAGGCCCTTTACCAGTCCATGTATGGGTTTGTGCCACTGTGACATCCCCAGAATCTCTCCTCCTGCCCTTCCCTCATCAGGAACAATACCCCTGTGAGACCCAAACTTCATCCTTACAAGATGGCACACAGTCCAACTCCACAGTCCAACTCCACCTTCCAATGCCCAGCTTTCTTCATATTGACTGGCATCCCAGGGTTGGGAGATGGCCAGGCCTGGCTGACACTGGTGTTTGGGCCCATGTATCTGCTGGCCCTGCTGGGCAATGCAACACTTCTGACAGTGATCCGGATAGACTCTACACTGCACCAGCCCATGTTTCTACTCCTGGCTACACTGGCAGCTACTGACCTGGGTTTAGCCACATCTATAGCCCCAGGACTGCTAGCTGTGCTGTGGCTTGGGCCCCGACCTGTTCGATATGCTGTCTGCCTCATCCAGATGTTCTTTGTACATGCACTGACTGCTGTGGAATCTGGTGTGCTTTTGGCCATGGCCTGTGATCGCGCTGTGGCAGTGGGACGTCCACTACACTACCCTATCGTGGTTACTAAAGCCCGGGTGGGCTATGCAATCTTGGCATTAACACTGAAAGCTGTGGCTATTGTGGTGCCTTTCCCTCTGTTGGTGGCACGATTTGAGCACTTCCATGCCAAGATCATACACCATGCCTATTGTGCACACATGGCAGTTGTAGAGCTGGTGGTAGGTAACACACGAGTCAACAACTTATATGGGCTGGCACTTTCATTGGCTGTGTCTGGGGTAGATATTCTGGGCATTGCTGGATCTTATGGGCTCATTGCCCATGCTGTGCTTCGGCTACCTACCCGGGAGGCCCGGGCAAAGGCCTTTGGTACATGTAGTTCTCACATCTGTGTCATCCTGGCCTTCTATGTGCCTGGTCTCTTCTCCTACCTCACACACCGCTTTGGTCGTCACACTGTCCCAAAGTCAGTGCATATCCTTTTGTCCAACATCTATTTGCTGCTGCCACCTGCCCTCAACCCCCTCATTTATGGGGTCCGCACCAAGCAGATCAGGGATCGATTCTTAGAAATGCTCAAATTCAGAAAAAAGCCATTTTAATGGACAGTGGGACCTTGGAGTAAACAGGGTAAGGAAACTCCCTTTGAGCAAAACCTAGTCTAGAAGTGTGGGTTATGTTGTCTTTGTCCTACATATGCATGCATAGAACTGTGATGACCCAAAAGGTATTGACTGTGAAGCCCTTGGTGTATACCACTGGCACCCGTATACTTTGGCCTAGCCAGCCATGTCTTTCTTGAAAGGAGGCAAAGGCAGGTGCTGCACATTACCATGCAGGGAATACAAAAGGAGATGAAGGAACTAGTTGAGATCCCAAGATCTAGTCTATTTGAGAATCTCCCTTTCCTGTCCCCACCCCATCATTTGAACCCAAGTCTCACTATGCTTAAATGTGTCGATGTCTGGAGTTACAACGCTCTCTGTACCTGCAGTCAGACTCTATTTTCAGCCTGTTCTCAAGGAGTTACACAAACTTATACTCCACATTTTAAGAAACTGGAAAGTGTACCCTATAGTGCCAATCTACCCAGAATATGGGACTTTAAGACACTCCCAAAGAATTCTCTTGGTCTTGTGTGTAATCACTACTTTCCTCTTCCTTCAATTCCAATGAACATCCCCTAAAGCAATACCTACAACTTCTTTCTCTGAGGCTGGGACTTTGGGAGTCAAGTATCCAACTGAAAAATTAAAGATGGTATCTAAATGATCAAGCCATTGTAATTACTTGTCAAAATCTGCCGTTTTGTTTTCCCTCAGCCAAGAATGGAAAGTCCCCCAATAAAATCCCATCAGAACCCCTATGTGTCCTGTTCATTGTCACTAACAGCATGTGATACTGGTGCAATATGATGAAATTGGGAGTATTTCATGCTGCTGCCACTGCCCAGAGACATTAAACAGGAAGTGGCATGGTGTTGCCCAATGGGGGAATTCATTTTCAGTTAAGGCTGAATAATAGAAGGAATAATATATGAGACAGGGAGCCACAGCTGTAAAGTCAGAGAAAACTGCAGTCATCAAGTCTTGGTGTTAGTCAGAGATCTGAAGCAAGAACCACTCTGCACAGTAGCTCAGAGAGCTGGACCAAGCAGCATGAGACATCATACAGACGAGGTAGCTCCTGTGTAGAACATTTGTCATTTCTAGGGCTAAATGGGGTCTCACTAGACCCCTATAAATAAAGAGGTACCTCAAAATGCCTGCATGATTTCAAGAGCACACTGAATCTGAATGGCTGAAGAGGGCGTCTAGTCCAGTGTTTCTCAACCTTCCTAATGCTGCAACCCCTTAAAACAGTTCATGTTGTGATGACCATCAACCATAAAATTATTTTCATTGCTACTTCCTAACTGTAATTTTGCTGTTATGGACAATAATGTAAATACCTTTGGAGATAGTGGCTTGTCAAGGGGGTCACAACCCACAGGTCAAGAACCACTGGTCTAGTCAATCATGTATGTGTTTAGTTATTCCCAAAACTTATTTTTCATGAAGTTCTAAGTTTAAAAGCTCTCCACGAAATGATTTTATAGAAAACTAACGAACTACTAGTCCTAGAGCTAGAAGAGATGGCTCAGTGGGAAAACTCCTTGCCTGAAAGCATGACAACCTCTGTTCAGATAGATTCCCAGCACCCACATAAAAGCTAGGTGCAAGTCTGCAACCCCAGTACTGAGGAGGAAGACAGAGAAGAGATAGGCAGATCCCGGGAGCTCCCAGGCCATTCAGTGAACTCCAGGTTAAGAAAGAGACTGCCCCAAAAGATACGGAGAATGACAGAGGAAAACACCCCACCTTCAACTCTGGTTCCTCCGTACACATGTGTGTGCACACAAAAACATACTGAACCTGATGGATCACAAGATACCCATCTCTCTCATAAGAAATTTCCCTTTAGGGATGTGGGGATATGGGGTGGCTTGGGAGGGAGGGCTGGGGGATGGGAGGAGGGAGGAGGTGGGATCTGTGGGTGGTGTGTAGAGTGAGTAGAAAATTTCTTAATAAAGAAAAATGAAAAAAAATTTCCTTTTGATAAATCTATTCTGAAAAATAACTGAGATGTGAACAAACATGTATGGCAGTAGAATATTTATTACATTATTATTAAGAAATATAAAGGAATTCCTGTGTGATAATCCCATATCACACATACATACACACACACACACCATTTTCCCTCTGATACATGGGAAGGGAAATCATGTGCAATCAATGCTCATGAGCAGAGTCTGTCACCATCCCAACATGGAGAGGGCACTGAGTCTGTCGCCATCCCACCGTGAGAGACTGCTCTAAGGCACCTTCAGCTCCTAGCTGTGCAGATCTCCCAAGGTCTCTTGTTCCAAAGCTGTGTGCTGAGAATGTTTTTCCTTCAAGCCATAAATCTAACACATTTGTGTTTTGTTGACAATGCATACATACCTACCATGTGATATGTTCAGAAAGCTTTATCAGCACATTCTCATTCTTCACAATAACCTGAGAATCAACAATATGCCCACAACTCATCACCTATATTTTCAAAATAAATACTCTCTGTAGAAACTTTTTTTCTATAGCTTTGGCCCAAACCCTAGTCCCATCCATTATGATCTTATTTATAGCCTTTACTTCACTTAGTGTAAATATTCACATACTTAACTGAAAAGAATGTTGATATGTTTGACTATAGGGCACCCTGAATCTCAACTGTGATATTCCTTAACATATGAAATATTATTCCCTTCCATAAACTGAAAAATTCTCAGCTCTAGTACATATATATCCCAAAAAGCTTAAAATAAAGCATCAAGAGTTTATATAATTATCCCTGCAGCCTGAAACAAAGGAGTATTAAGGATCTTTATCACCTCAAAGTCTTTACTGTCAACGCTATTCTATGCTGCCATGAGATTCACGCAGATAGTCTCACGTTCTGTGCATAAACCGTCCTATTTATTTCTCCCAGTCTCCATCCAGATCACTCTGATATCCTCAAGGTGATCAGTGCCTCTTCCAAAGATACCACAGAATGATGGCACATGGGAAGCAAATCCCAGCAAGATACAGACCAACAGCCCAACCCTTGGGCTCACCAACTCATCCAGACTCAATTGCCATCTGTTTTTCTTCAGTATCTTTCAGTCTCAGACTCTGAGCAAAAAGGAAAGAGATTTACTCAACATTAAGATACATCACAGAATTTAGGGAGCCTAGAGATTCACAAGAATCAGAAAGCAAGAAAAGGGCAGAAGGTGTGGGCTTCCAACTGAGTAGTTTATCAGAACCCAATCTGCCCTCTGAACCCATGTCCATGAACAAAAACTCTAAAATCTTCTGCTTCCTATTTGACCAATAAGCCACCATCCCTGCACTGATCTCATCCATCTCTTCTCATTCTGGATTCCCCGTGTCATCTGTCCCTCTTTGCCTCTCAGTCAGCTCTTCGACACTGCAAAGGTGCAGAGGTACATGGTTCTGTCCCTTCTACTGGTCTCTATCTGTCTCTTACTCCACTTCAGTGTTCCTTATAATTTCTTTCAGAAGGGAACAGAGTTGCCAACTACACTACACTATCTATCTTTTCCTTGTCAAACAAAATGAAAGGATGTGCTAAACTAGGTGTGATGGTATATACCTGCAATTGTAGCACTTAAGACAGAAAAAGAAGTACCACAAGTAGGAGGCCAGCTTCAGTGACACAGTGATATGCTGGCTCAGGGAATGGAGAGAATGGCTCAGGGGTTAAAAGCACTGGCTACTCTTCCAGAGGACAAGGGTTCAATTCCCAGCACCCACCTGGCAGCTTACAATTGTCTCTAATTCCAGTCCAAGGAATTTGATGTCCTCTTCTGGACCCCACTGGCACCAGGAACACACATGATGCATAGACATACACGTAGGCAAAACATCCAAAAACGTTAAAAATTAGAGCCCTAATATCAAAGATGGTATTTTGTTAGGGCCTTGTTAAACAGGTATAAAGAAAGAATTTGGTTTTGGTTCTCTTAAGAAACTCAAGGTTTCTCATTTGGACTGATGTGGCTTCTCTTGTATCCTGCCCACTTCCTTCTCACTAAGCCACAAGTATTTCTCTCATCACACACTGAAGTGAGCCATGCAACAGCACCAAAAGGAGCTACTGTTCCAATAGTAAGAGCTGGAACCCCAGGTCTGTTATTAACTATTCACTGTATTGTTGGCTAATTAATTTTTCTGAACCCTTTCTTCACTATAAAATGAAACAATAATGCCTACTTCAGAAAAGAAGCTGGGCACAGTAGTGCATACCTGTAATCCCAGCATTCAGGAATCTGAAGCAGGAGGATTGCTGTGAGTTCTGGCCAGTGTGTAGCTACATAATGAGTTCAGAGCCATTCTGGATTACATAGTGGGGCCCTGTCTCAAAAAAAAAAAACCAAAAAACAAAACAAAAAACCACCAAGAGATTCCTAAAAGAATCCTCTAAGATAACACATTCAGTATCTGACACAGGTCCTAGCACAGACAAGTTCAACAAATATCTGACATTAATTTCTTAGTGGAACTAAGTCTACTGTCACTCGCTTGCTAAAAGGTCCGGCACCTGTTCATTTAATTCTATCTGAGGGAGACGTGCCTTCCCTTGAGTTCAACTGTATCTCCTTTAGGAAAGTTTTCTTGATAACACTTTCCCATCACTGCAGTATCCTTCTGTGTGGTATGACACCTATCACTTCAGCTGGCTCAGATGATAGCCAGCTTTGCAAGACAGCATTTTCCTCAGTCAGGCTGCCACAGGATACCCCCTAGATAGGAGACCTCCAAAGGGCCTGAGAACTATGGGACAGACAAGGTAAGGAGTGGGAAAACGATTACTATAAAGTTCAAACGTGATTTCTTTTGAAGTTATTCTTCTCCAGCAAAATATTAGGTGAGCTCTCTGGACAAAGACACAAGAAAGACGACAAGTAATAATAACTAGAGTGGGAGAGGAAACTACTACATACAAATCAGCCTAGGACAGGAATGGAGCATGAAGAAAATCTCCATGTTTACCTGGGTAATTCTGCCTTCCTGAAAAGTCTTACCAGTTACTAAGGGAACAAAATCCCATTTAGATCTTACTCTTCACGTTACCATTGCTCAGCCAAACACCCACCTACACACTCCTGCTTTCCACTGCTTTTATAACCCACTCGTTAATAACTGGTTTCAACCGAGGAGCTTTTAGAAGTTAGGATTCCCAGGCACACCCCAGACAAATTAAACCGGAATCTCTGAGAATAGAAGACAAGTATCAGTGATTTTTAAATCTCCCAGGTAATTTATAGGTTGAGAATTACTGGAGTTCTTATTGTTGCTATTGTTGTTTAGATGTTTGTTTTCAGTTTAAGTCTTGATCTATACTTCCGTATCTTTCAGAACCCCAATGCAACTTCAAAGAGAAGTAATCTACAACTAACTAGATGGCAGTTACTCTAGTAAAGCAGTTCAAGTGTTCCTCCCTCCAAAGCAAGAGAATGACCACTCCAGGCTGAGGGAGAAGACCAGGAGACCATGAAACAAGACTGCATAAGATGAGAAAAAGGAGTGAAAAGAGAAGAGGAGGAGAGAAGAAAGAGAGCATCTTTGTGCTGTTCAAAGGGCAGGGCAGGAACAGAAAGGAAAAATGAAATGGCAAAGGAAAGAAAGAAAAGGGAGAAGGAAGTAAAAGTTTGTAAATATTATGGCCCACAGGCTGCAAGGAGGCTAGTAGAGTTACTGTCCTCTCTGTATCCAAGGCTCCATCACCTAGCAGGACCTCTATGACCTCATGGTGGAGTAGGTCACAGCCCAAGGTGGGGGGAGGGGGGAGAGGCCTTACCTTCCTGGGCAGATTGGGGGTTCCTGCAGCAGTCACTACCTTGCCCAACCCCTCCCCACCATGTTGGTCAGTAACCCCCACCTGCTAACACTGGATGAAGCAGATGCCACTTGGGCCCTCATCAAGGATAAGGTAGGTAAAGCAAGGAGGTTAAGGAGGAAGTGGCAAAGTGTGACCAGGCTGATTCTGAACAAAGTCTCATTCTTTTATGTATCCAAGTATCTGCCATAATCTGGCATAAAATAAGACATTCAAGGTTTTGTTATAGGAGGAGACTAGGAGATAAGTGTGGATCTGTGTATACCACAGAAATGTACTTAGACAGCAAACAATGGTGAGAAGGTCAATTTAGACAATACAAGTTAACCTCTGACCTTAACTCAGCCCCTGACTTATAAACTGGCCACCTGCAGGTCATCGAGGAGCGTTTTGGGTCCAATGTAGTGGCAGTACCTTTCCTGTCGGATGCAGCCTACTATGATCTACTGGGCGTGCTAGTGAAACAGTCCCGTCGAGCCCACACCCGCCTAACTTTGCCAGGCCGGCAGGGCCGAAGGGCACTGAAATCAGTAGGGTTGCTACCAAATCTTCTAGAACAGGCAGGGTCTGAGGGTGTCTTTGCCCATTGCACTCGGGAATACTCACCAAATGGCCGAGCCGAGATAGCCTATGAAGAAATGCGAATGTTGGATGGGCAGCCCTGCCGGATCCGCCTACATATGGGAGGCCTGCGCAAGAAGGTTGCCTTCCTGCTGCTACCACCAGGGCAGGTGAGCCTGCAGCAGAATCTTCCCTGGATCCGAAGCACCCACAGCATCTACGTCATCTACCAGGTCTTCTCCTGCACCTGGCTGCAGCTAGGGCTGTTACCTACAGCCCGTGAGCCCCAGCTGCTCCGGTTACAGCGGTCACTACCTATTGCTTTCTCCTGCCTCAAGTTTTCACTGCAGCCCAAGGGTGTGCTGGGACCACAGAAGTCTCTGACCAAAGATCCCTTGCCCCAAGGAGCCACCTGGGTTAGACCTAGCCTTAGCATCTTATCAACTCTGGCCCCCACATCAGTACCTGCTGATACACTTGAAGTCGCTGATGCATCTCCACCTGTCCCAGCCCCACCTACACCACCTCCCCAAGAAGGGCCAGAAGGCAGACCCACCAGATTCTCCTATAAGGGTCGAAACCCCTTCCGGAGGGGCCCCTATATGCTTTCAGGTACTGCTAGGGGAAATGAAGATGAAGCATGGGAAAGACCACTGGAGGGAGAGGGTACAGGGACTATTGCCCAGGAATGGGTTCAGCAGCCCACAGTGTGTACAGGACCCTTGTGAAGGGACAGACTTGAGGGAACCCAGGGAGGGTGAGATGGAAGCATGGCCCTGGTAAGGGTGTGTGGTGGGGGATGCAGCACAGAGAATCAGGGTGGGGGGGACTAGGGCGGAAGACCAGGGCATGAGTCAAGCTGTGACTATCCCCAACCCTAGCAGAGAACTGGCTCTTCAGCCCCCGCAACCCCCCACCAGGAGGCCAGGGTGGGGGCCCCGGGGACCCCGACCGGCACTCCATGTCCCTGCCCCTGCTGCAGGGTCTGTCCTCAGAGTTCGACAGCGACGAATGAAGCTGAGGCAAGAGACGCAGGGGGCAAGGCCCCTAAGATCTGACATAGGGATAATGGTCCCCAATAAACATCAGCTGCTGCACCCCCAACCACCCTGGGCCTGTGTGCTTCTTCTTTCTTGGGTCCAGAAAAATGAAGTCTCCATTTTCCCCTAAGCATTAAGTCCTCTCACCTTCTAAGAGTAAAGGGGCTAACCTGAAACCCTATCATCAGTGTTATCTCCCCTGATGATTCCCCCACCTATATACAACCTTTACAGGGCCACAGCCCCATAGATAAAGGGTGGCAAAGAAGAATGAGCACAGAATAGAGATTTCCCTTTTATACATATTGCAACAAGTTCTCATAAAACATTCATCTGAAATAAATTAAAAAGTCCATTTGTCACTGCCTCCAAACATAAAAAGGAGCCCATGTCCTGGAAATCAGCCCAGGCCAAAGAAGGCCCTGATTGTCCATGGAAGAAAATTAAGGATTGAGGGGCCCAAAGCCTGAGATGGGAGGGACAGATACCTCCTCTGAAGTATCCAACAAGAAAGGCGAGGTGACAGCATGGGCCTGGGAGATGGCAGCCAACTCCTTGAGAAACTCAGGGAAAATGACTGCACAGTAGACAGCATTCTTGACTCGCAGAGCCTCACCTTGGCGTTCAGAAGCCCCACCCCGGGGGAGCAGAACTGGAGTTGAAGCCCCTGGAGAGCTCCCACCTAGTCCAAGTCCTGTTCCTTCTCGCCCAGGTTGAAGAACCTGTGCCGCCTGCCGGGCCCTGGTTGGACTGTGTGCATGCCGCAGGAGTAACTCCCCCAAGGATGGCCTCCGGCTCCTCACTGAGAATAAACAGGAGTATCAAGAAGGTGCTGGGATCAGGGAGCATGCCCTAGTTGGGGAGATTTCCCAACCCCCTTAGGTTCTTGAACTTCTCCCCTGGGGTTCAGAAAGAATGGAAGGACAAGATGGACAAGAACTGAAGTTCATTTCTTATCTCTAAATATGACTAAAGATTTGAGACAGGTGCTTTTCCTCATTCTCTCAACAAATTCCTGCTTGCTCAGCCTTTCTCCTCTATCCTGTCTCCTTAGCAGCCAATATTTGTATTACTTTATTCCCAACTACAACTCCTTCCTTCTGCATGACCACCTTGGTCTGATTCATTCTAACCACTATTCTACCACCACCAAGATCACTCTCATACATAATATACCCTAACTTTGTGTTTCCTATCACCCCCTAAAGCAGTAGTTCCCAACCTTCCTAATGCTGGGACCCTTTAAATACAGTTACTCATGTTGTGGTGACCCCCCAACCATAAAACTATTTCATTACTACTTCATAACTGTAATTTTGCGACTGTTATGAATCGTAACGTAAATATCTGAAATGTAGGATATCTGATATGTGCAACCCCAAAGGGGTCACAACCCACAGGTTAAGAACCACTGCTCTAGCACTACATACAGCCAACTACTTCTACTTTGCTCTGACTACCTAGAGCTGACCTACATCCTCTGCTCCCTCAATATCTGTATGTACAAATGTAGTTCAGGGACTGCTTCATTTCTTTACACTCCACTGCCTGTCTAGGATCAATTTCCTTATACCACTACTTCATCATCAGTCCCTGCTCTATACCCAACAAGACCTCCCTCCCACTGGGTATGCCCAGACAACTTTGAATTTGCTTAGACTCAACGGAGCTATCTAAAATACTGTCCTCTGTCGAACTTTCTGGACTTCATCACTTATGTAGCCTAGATTCTAGCCCCTAGAACATGATAAATGTTTATTGGTTACAGAGACACCATACAGACTTATTAACCTTGCATTCAGAGCCCTTCACAACCAAGGTCTCTTTTAGCAACCTACCTTCATTGAATCCAATAGGCACCTTATATCCATCTGTAGCTTCCTTTGATTACAATTTGTCATTCCTTTTTTATCCTTTCGAGCTTAATTATCTCCACCTGGGAGAACCCTGAGACTACTAATTGTGATCTTCCCTACACTGACTTCCTGTTCCACTATCAATAACAACATCAGTAATTTCTTCCCAAAGCTTCTATCTCATGCACTAAACTATGAACTCAAGAACTTAAGAATGTCACTTTTAATGCTTCCTCATCTCAACCACTACCAAATTCTGTCATATTTAATGCTTCCTTATCTCCTCAACCACCACCAAATTCTGTCATATTTAATGCTTCCTTATCTCCTCAACCACCACCAAATTCTGTCATATTTAATGCTTCCTTGTCTCCTCAACCATTGACCAAATTCTGCAAAAACTTCCTTCCCATCTCTGCCCTATCAAGTGCTTCCTTTCTTTTCCATTATTCAAATTCAATCCTCCCTGGTCCTGATTGTTCTTCCTGAATCCCTTTTCTTAACTCCAATTCACCTGCAATTATTCATCACATTCAGATTTTAAAAACCTCTCCTAGTTTCTTAGTGTCTGAAAGAAAACTCACAACTTCTGCCCAGCCTAACCTCCTCTCAAAACCCTCTTACTCAGGCCAAATCTTTCTAGCCATATCACCAATTGTTCTACAGCCTTGTAAACCCCTACTCTCATTACTCAAGGGCACATGCTATGTCAAGTTCTCACAATATCTCAACCCAAGAACTTCTTTCTCCTTTCTGATGCCTAGACCATTATGCACTTTCTTGTAATACTGCCAATTAGGCTCTTAATTAATAAAAACAACTCTATCCTCTGACCCAAACCTGACAACATGGAAGACTCAATTTTCAACAGCTGCTTCAGTTTCTGGATCTTAACTAACTTGGGCTAATAAGGTATCTAGGGAGAATAAGGGAGGGTGGTCAGTTAGTCTTCACCTAGAGAATCAGAGCGGCGCGGAGCAGGTCCTGCTGTAGGAACCTCAGCCCAGTCCAGCTTGCCACGAGCAATGAGGTACTTCTTGGCTTTGGATAGCAGAGCAGGGAAGTCCTCCTGGGAGGCTGCAAAGCTCTCAATCTTATTCTTCACAGAGCCCAGCACCTATGAAACACAATTGTATAATGTTTCTGATGGTTTCACATTGATACAGGCCTTTCTAGTCCCACAGCATCTGCTTCCAGCCCACCCAAGGTCACTCTAGCTGTGGGCCTGGCCCACCACTGAGCCTGGACGCACCCATGCATGCATGCATCGCACACCTGCAGCAAGGACTTGACACTGGGCTGGAAGACCATGTTGGTGTTGAGCAGGAAAGAGCGGAGCAGGGGCTGGGGGTGACAGGCCAGCTGGGCCACCAGCCCCGTCAGCAGGAAGTTGACATAGACGGAGTTCTGCAGCATGTTCTCGAGTTTGGCAAAGAGCACAGCCATGAAGGGGCCTGGGAAGGGGGTGGGCACAAGGATACAAGGCCTGAACACAATGCATATCGCACGCATTCCTCCCCCCAAACAAGACCCCCACTAGATGAAAATTATATGTAAGTATCTGAGGGTGTTAAATGACCTGTGACCACTTTCTCTAGACAATTAAGGTAATCCAGATGCCAGCATTATAGACATTATGACTGAAGAGTCAGATCTTAGGCTCTAGAGTCAGAGATTTCATCTCAGATTTCAGATGTGCCCTATGACTGGATAAGTTGAAAGCTCACCAACATTTAGTTTCCTATTTATAGTAAAATAAATATACCTACCTCATAAGATAATTAAGAGGACCAATGAGATATCAATGTCAAATATCAAGTACAAGATATGGCAAATTTTTTCATTTGATTATAACCATATCCTACACTGTATTTCTCAGTTTTTAAGAAGCTTCACTCAGGAACACAACAGAATACACAGAGAGCCAAAACATCAAATCAGGTTCCATGAAGACAGAGTAACACAAAACTAGTCAGAAAGAAAGCAAAAAAGATGTAACAATGACAAAGAAAAAGACTACAAACTTCAAAGCAAGTAGTAAGTCTTTAGGGGAACAGAGACGATGTCAGCTCTGTCTTTTAGGCGCAGGGAATCAAGGAGGCAGACTAAACTCTACAGGAAAATAGCAGCTTAGTTCGGGGGCACAGGAAATTGATTCAGGATGACAAGAAGGGATTAGCATTCCATTCTGGGAGAAATGCCTTAACACATGACAGTGGACCATTAGAGCCACTGGATCACAGTATTTCTGATGAAAGATTTTTGGTCAAAGAGATTATTATTTTAAAGTGTACTATCAAATGTGATAGAAGAATGATGAACAAGAAGTGGTGAATCCTGAAACAGATTTTATACCACCATCCACTTGAGGTGTCCATATGACTAGCCTTAGCTCAAAAGTAATACTAGATTAAGAGTCCAAACAAAATCCCTAACTTTATCCTTTTGTTCACTCCCTGGGAGTATCTTGTAAGGGTTAATGTAAAGAGCACAAATGACTACAAAGAAAAGGGGAAAGAAGTATCAATTAATACTACAAGACTGGTAAAACCACACCACCTAGAGGTACTGAACAGGAAAGGAGAGGAGCAGAGGCTAAATGAATAGGAAGATAGTTTTCCACAGTCTGCAAAAGAAGGAATATGGCTCCAGACAGAAGCCCCAGTGCTATACCAAGACAGTCAATCTCAGGCTTACCAAGACATACAGCATACAAACTTGACTATTGACAACTAGGATAGGTGGTGCCTTATTCAACTTACATTTTCCATGACCCATTGATGATAACCACAGTGTAAAGCTACTGTTTGCTGTATTTTCACAATGTGCCAATATTACATTAAATGACTTTCAAACACCAATGGTAGGCAAAATGCCAGCTTAAGGGGTGCCTAATCCAAAGTCTATGGTCTTAACCCTAGCCATTGCACTGCTTCCCAGAAATTTTTTGTTTTGTTTTCCCATGATAAGATGTAGATTACAACTTGATAAAGGCTTGTCTTGCTCATAAACAAAACAAAGAAGAGCCGGTCCAAAAATCTCAGGTTGGATCTAGCTCCAGGGGCATCAACCCAAAAGGGCTTACCAGGTACACTTAGAACCATGCCCTCAAAGAAGAATATCACTCACCCTCCAATCCTTATTAAACATAAGTCCTTAAAATAACTGTATTGGACAGTCATGACAACCAAGAAGGTACAAGACAGTGGATGGGAGAAATGAAATCAGGCCCTTCTTTGAAGAGGCAGGGAGGAAGGTGCTAAGCAGGAGAGGAAACACCAAAAGAGCTGACTCCA